TTTCGTCCTAGCAGCAAGTATAGACGCTCCTCGAATAGCTGGTGTCATAAACAAGATACTTTTTGCGACATGTTGCTCGGCCTGTAGATATACAGATATACAGCCTGTATCAAAGAGAATCAAGTTCAGTACGAGCCTCCGTCGTTCTCTTACCTGGAACAAATGCCATCGGATGCTACGGATGCATTTCTATCTTTAGGCTTGCGCGTCTACACCTAATTGCATGTTACCTGGACTAGCTGCGGTTCGATCGTCTTGGGATCGACAGCCGAGACCAAACGATCGTTCTCGCTTCTTTCTGTCTTTATTTTCTACTTGGGAACTTCTTCGGGGGACTTTATTCTTCCCTTGCAGCAGATGTTACCGAGGGTGGCCACAAAATGAGATGGGGGTGGGACGAAACTCGTTTTGTCCATTCCTGAAACTAGGTCGATCTTTTCTTGGTCGTTGATAATAACCGTTTGGGTCTGATGAGAGAATACGCGGCTTGGATATTGTCAAGTTACGCCATGATGAAGATGACATCGACGAGAGGACATATCCCTTTTGCACTTTAATATTAAAGGTTGATGCACGTGGTTATCGTTGTAGAGTGTCTCGCGGTAAATTGTAAGTTTTCGAATTTTCTGAAATGCTTTCTAGTTAAGGGTGACTTTTGGGATCAGAGACTGTGAATATACTTGGGGGTGTCATTGACCAGGAACAATGCCCGCTGGTAAGACTGGAGAACACTAGGAATTTCTCGAGTGTAAGGGGACGCGTTGAAGCGTACGCGTACTCGTAGATGTGAACTAACCCTTAATGAAAGCGGACTGTGGCTGCTCGTGTGATTGATGGAGGTTAAAGGTCACATCTTAATCGCGTGTTCACGAATCTTGAACATTTTGGGTCAACGTGTGGGTATGGAGAATTTGGTCGATAATTTATTATAGCCCAGAAGTCTACCATCACAGGGGATGCTAAAACTATAGCGAAGCTTATTGTGTACTTTTTGCGTGCGAGTGTGTCGTTTCTCATAGAATTTTTTTAGCGACTTTTACAAGAAGCACGTTAATCTTTTATTATATGGAAATTGTAAGGGAAGCGGACTTTAATGAAACTTCATGGAACTGATAAGTGACTGATATTCTGTACTCCCTATATATATATGTATACCGGATAAAGCAGTTGATATTTATATTTGATGAGTTATATTGATCCTCGACACAATTTCAGTAGATAGCATTATGCCACCCCCAATCGTGGGGTGAGTTAGGAATGTTGACAAATATTTTTTATAATTTTGTCGTAGCAAAAAAAAAAACGAAAAAAAAAGTGAGTCGTCGATGAAATATGCAAAGTGCTTCCATATTGTTATTTTTTAATTGGCAAATTCAAAAAATTTCGCAGAATGGTAAACCCAACGAACGTTGGATATACGTTATAACACAGGAAGAAAAAATCCTATAAAAAAAAACTTCATAATTCAATTTATATACAAACAATGACTAGTCGCAGAATTTTTAAAAATTATCATTACAATCTTAATTACTCTAGAAAGGAACTTTATCCTTTTCGCAAAATAATTAAGCAGTCCAGCATTCTTATTTACTGGACGGTTTTATTTCTAGATTCTCGTTTCAAGAAACACAGAATATCCTCTTATCAGACTCCATGAAAGTAGTCGTTACTGCCCCTGCTCTCCTCTGTTACGTGCGTTATATTTATTAAGGGTTGCGAAGAGTAGGTTGGTGATTATTATTATACATATTCGCTTTTCTCCACCCAAGAGAATCTAAGTTCCATATTACTTTATGCGACAGTGGAGTTAGTACAACCGCGAAATTACGAAACGTAACAAACTTCACAGGGAATTCGATTAAACAGTCAGTAAACCCTAATTAGCCAGAGCGAGATTCAAATTAGATGAATTAAATGGGTTTATCTCGGAGACTGTCAAAATCTGAGTCATCATTCGATATATCCGATATGAAATTACATTTTGTAATACGCTATTTTAATCGAAACACGCATGATAAATAACGTCCGATGATCCTGTTGAAAATTGGGTAGATCAATGATAGTACATAATAGTTATTTATGCTGCAAATTGTACGTATGCTACTCAATGACTTTTCCTTATATTCAACAAGTGGATCGATGATGGAATCTATTTAAATATTTTTCTTCGATATCGTAATCTCTGTATGTTTGTGTACTTAAGAGTACAGGGATTTCATAATTAATTGTAGGCATGAGAACTGCGGCTGTCATACCAGAAGGAAGTGATGAAATATAACCCTGATATTTACGTAATTTCCGTTATTCACGTCAGAAGCGCTTCACGATAAATTATCCACGTTTAATATGATATAATGCATATACTATATATTTGTATAGGTATGTTCACACATAATACAGGTAAATAATAATTTTATTGATAAATCAGTCATTTATGAGCTATAGGGCACCAAATTTATCATATTTTGAGATGGGTTGCGAGTGTTTGCTTCTTTTTCTAAATATATTTTGATCTTGAACCTCATTTGGAAAATTGGTTCACTGCGGATGTTGTAGATTTGCGCGGAATTTATTTTTGACAGAATATAACACGCGAATCGGTCATAAAATTTCTAGAGATATTGTTTCCCATTTGTGTAATGAAATTTATGAATTGTGAAATTTTATCGTATGTATTTTTGAATTACGAAAATCAAGAGACTCGGTCGCGTTTCGCGCCACGTATAGGCAACCGGCGGTACAGCCAAGGCATTAAGGACCCGTCAGGTAGTACTCGATAAGGAATCACCTAAAGTTTTAATTATTATTAAATTACCATTAAATCATAATTAAGTACGAGAAGCAGTAGTAATATAAAAGAGTAGGGAAGTAGGGGAGTATAAAATTTTTTTTAAATACAATTAAAATAATGGGCTAGTGCTAGATCATATACTTAGCAGATATGTAGTGACTTATGTATTTGGCATTAATAATATGATTTCTATACTTTTCGTTAGAGGAATTCACAGCGCGAATTCACAGCGGAATTCACAGCTGTACTTGGCATAGTTTTTTACACGTATTATACTTATTACAGAATATGCCTACTGTAAAGCAGGTTGGCATTTCAAATTAGGGGATGGTCCAGGGGTTAATATTATATTGACGTCAAAAAACGTAAATATTTTAAACATATTTAAAACAAGTTTTCTGTTCAATTGATGCAAATATTTATCTTACTGCCTCTCTTCAAATATTGTACGTCATAGGTGTTACCGTCATTCTGAAACACGATTATGGAAATTTAATGCTCCAAGCCAGTGACTGGGATAATGCCCTGGGACATACTATCTTTAAGGTCAAATGGCTCACGTAACTAATAATTTTTATTTAACTGTTATTAATTTTTCAATTTTTTAATATTCGCATATGGTAATGGGGATACGCGCCCTCGTATAAGAGAATTATGGGTCAAAGATGGATTATGTGCTTCTTACGCATAAAAAGTAATGATAAATGAGAATTGAGGTTAGGATTACAAGATTTCCAGGTCCCAACATTATCGGAGGATTATTTGTTATTTATTGCTGATATATGGTATCCCTGGTGTATGGATTTGTATAATAAAGTGTCGTCGTATCTGGAACGTAGAGAAACAAATGCAAACAAACGAAGCATACTGAAGAAATTCCTAAAGGTTTTCAATTGATAATGCATGACTACACACAATTTTTTTGTTCATCAAAGTAACATACGTATGTAATATAAGCATGCGAAGTTGATAACGACGAAGGCTCTTCGTCTCCGAGGACATTGTAATGAAAAAAGAAGTGTGAATCTACCAATTGTAATGTTCCAATCTTATCTGAGGCTAAAAAATACAAATGACCAAGGTATTAGAATGTATTGAAAAACGTCATATTTTTTCATAATAAAATTTCGATTCTGTTTAACCACTAACTAGGCTAAAAATATCTTATATTTTCATCCTGATTATCATTCTGTCACTTTACGGTTCTTCTTTTTCAGATTCAAAACCTCTATTATCGGATGATCAATCATAAGCTAAAACAATGCATTGTGACGTTTCGCTTGTAAAAGAAGCTTTTGCAGTATCACTGTTTGTTTCCAGATTTTACATCCCTAGAAATATCCATGCCAATTCTTTATCTTCGAGTCGCCAACCACGAGTTATGGTTGTTGTACCCAGCGATCGTCCTATACCCTGGGGAAGTCGTCGTGGAGGATCTCCAGGAGTGACGTACCGATTCGCTAAGGAATGCTCTCGATTTAGTTTAAAGGGACGATTCGAGGGAAAGGATAAGAGTTATCGGCTACAAGGACCTCGACCAATCAGAATGATTAGTTCCAGAATTTGACTATTGTCAATTGACTGCTTTAGAGCAGTCAGTCTTGGGACACCGATCGGGGTGCCTCGAGGTCGCTCGCGCTCCCGTGCTATTTGTTTATAGTTTTTCTAGCCGCGTTTCCTATACGGTATAGGAAGTTCTCGCTTGTGTGGTTCTCGCGTTGCTCTCTCAATATCCAAAAAATCCTATCGACTTTCTGCGCGTCTTTCGGAGGTGCAGTGTTGTGCTATAGTGCAGTGCCCACCTCAGTGTCTCCTGGATGCAGTTCTCGGCCTTCACGGATCAGCTGAACCAGCTCCGGTGAGCACCCCCAATTTATTAATTGGTGGAGGGATTTCGATTTTACAGCTCCGATTCGTCCTACTACGTTCTCCATAAATTGCTCCCTGTTTCCGTTCGCTCCCGTTCTTGCATCCAGTTACGTTTGCTGATTTTACGCGACCCCAAAGATCAGCACCTACGGTTGCGATTCTCGATTTTTTCGCGTCCCCAAAAATCGTCAAGATCCGTTAAGCTACCGTCTTGTTTTGTTGATGACCGAAAGTGACGTAGATTAGGTCTCCGATTTTCGTTATTAGTTTCAATTTAAGAAAATACGTTACAGACACATCGGTGTCTCTTAGGAATTGGTATCAGTATTAATGATGATAATTAACATACGATAAGAAAAATGTGGAAAATCTTAATATCCTTCCTACCTGCCGAGTGAAGTGGAGGATGATGAAATTTGAGTTCAGCAGATACGTGCCAGCTTCCGGGTGCAGAAAGTTGTAGACCAATTCCGAGAAAATGTACCAATGCAGAGCACGTGACTATGACATATCCCCATCCTCCTTCGGGATAATAATGTCTTCTCAGTGTGGTCTCCTTCCGATGGTCTATCGGTAGACGTGGCGAAGATTCGTTTTCATTCTTGTTTCTTATATTTTCCCCAAAACTCTTAGTTCGTCTACCGAGCGACTTATCGATCTCAATACGGGATTCGTTGCGAATCGATTGCGATCTGTACCGGCGATTGGTAAAGCTACCGCTCTCGACGCAATTCCCTTTTGACTTTGGCAAATCCAATGGCGGACGAAATGGATCAATTTGAAGCTGAAGAAATCCATCGGACTTGCACTTGGGACACGCGTGTCTACTTTTAATCGCTTCAGGCGAAGAGACCACGAAATCTTGATAATTGGATGGATTTTCATTTTCCAATTGTATTATCACCGGAGGCTCTTTCAATCGATTCTTGTCTTCTGTTGTTTCTTCCCTTTCACTTCCCACTTCTTCTTCATTTAATACAGAGACCTCATCCGTACCACGGGTACTATCTGATCGTTTAGAACTTTCATCTTGTAATTTCAAGGAATCCTTGATCCTCCCGAGTAAGGCAGCATGATCCTTTCTCAAAGATTCGACAAGTTCATGTCGATCCGTAACCAATGACGTTATGTCCTTGTAAAAGTCATCACTGGGTCCTGAAATATTGTCAAGGGATGCTGGAATCTTCCACCCGGTACAGAAACGCGAGTCCAACACCTTCAAGGATAATTTCGAATCGATGATCTTATTCCACGTGAATAAACTAATATCTGGTGTGTATTCAAAAAAATTATCATTATCCCCAGTCGATATTTCACCCATCGAGATGGCTTTTCTGTATTTACTTTCCATGAAGATGCGATCGGTTTTCGAATCAGTGTTCATCGGCATATTCTCGTCACTTTCAGATGAACGATTGCTTCCTGCTGGCGGAGCAAATTTTTTGCAAGAACCGCCGATAAATCCCGCGAGTCCCTTGTCAGAATTGATCCTTGATTGTTCTTGCCAGGAACTGTCCCTGTTTTCACGATGCTTCTGAAAAGAGTCGTCCTTTTCCGGTTTCCCTGTTCCTTCAGATAAATCAGCGCTTTTTTCCAACGTCAAAGGGAAATTGCCAAACAGTGTCTTTTCGTTCTTGTCTTTTTTCTCAACACTCTCTCCGGGACCACCGTCATCTTCAGGATCTCCCCTCGGATGATATATCCTCCGTATTGTTCGTCTCTCCTTAGGGAACTCTACGAGTCCATGCGAATTTTCTGCAGTCCGCCTCTCGTCTTTCCCTAAAGGTTCTTCGCTTGTTTTATCTTCTTTATCGTCTTCCCCGAAATGACTTGTGCTACAAATTTTCTCGCTGTCATCCGCGACCTCTGACTCCGCGAAACCGCTTGCCTCACCGTCGATTCCATTAGCCTCTGCCTCCTGCCCGCCCGAACGGACCAATTTGTCAAGGTGCCCAATGCGACCTACGTCTCTGGCGGCCACCTCTACCAGCCTATCCACGTAAAACGAAGGTATTATGGTGTAAGCACGGGATATGGGATCCACGCGAACTTTAACGGTCACGGCTCTCTCAGGCCATGAGTTACTGTGCCTCATGCTTTTCTTCGTCTCGTTGCTGCGCACTGTCATCTTGATTTATTTACACGTGCTCCTAGCTACCGTTTTCCAATTAAATTGTCATTCCTCGAAGCGCTCGCTAAAGTGCAAACTGTTGCCCGATATTTTAAGGTTCACTGCTCTCGGCACTGGCTTCCCTGTGAAAGTGTTATCCCCGCATTACTCGCATGACTTGGCAACAATCTTACAGCTATCCGGAAAGTGCATTTTCTTTCACTGTTCCCTCTTATCTTCGAGCACGAAGCACTTTTCTTACTCACTTTAGTACTTGCGGATGCGCACACCGAATCTCCTCTCGCCACTGTACCAAAACTTGGCTCGGTTTCGCTTATGAATATTCATTATTTAAAAAGTCCTTGCGATGCACCCAAATGGATGCGAGTGATAATGACATCGAGATGAGGCATGGACCAGCTGGAAATATGCTTTAATGTGATTTTCCTTGTTTTTGCGAAACTCCGCTTTATCGTTGCCCACTTAAAGTTCCTCGTCGTTTACAACTTCCGGGGTAGCTGATCTTTGACCTCGATCCGAATAAATATCGATACTAGCGTCTATCGCGCGGTTGAGTGGAATTTTGTTTTTCTTTTATTAACATACAGCGCTGTAGGAAATTAATGATCTTTTCGTTGAATTAAAAATTTTGCATAATGCATCTCGCAATCTCATTTCGGTCCCCTGCCGTGTCTTATGAGTATCAGTCTTTGCATTACTGTGAGCCTATCAGATAAATCATATTCATCGCAAATAATATTCGCTTTTGGTTATCGTACAGTTTCCTGACTTTTTGTCGAGCACCGGAAGTCCATGAACTTTGACTCGATAAATTTAACAACTATTTCCGGCATGTTACAGAATCGGGTTTGCTTACTTTCACGATATTATTTATGTCGATAATATACTCACGAGGATAAATTACTCACTCGACAGGGCAATGTATTACTAGGTAATCCTTGGTTAATGAAAATCTAATGTCGAAAATTTGGTTTAATAAAGCTAAGGTTATCACGTCGATATTCTATTAGCTATAATGAATTTTTTTTTTACGAAACTCTACATGGAAAATATCAAGTATTATTCAACTAGAAAGGGAATTTTAATTGAATAACTTGTCCGTAGTAAAGTTATTAGGTTCAATTAAAATCCAGTGCTGAGATACCATCGAAATCGAAAAGTGCCTAATCACTGGTAATTTATCAACGATTAAGTCTTCGTACATTGAAGCATAACGCACAATTTATATGGTAGAATGTACGAATGAAAAATTCAACGGTACCTTTTTATTGGATCATTAGATCGTTATTGTTGGTTATTATAGTTAATTGAAAGCGGATCCTAGGAGCGCTAAATGTTCATAATTATTTTAGTCCATTATAAAACACTCGCATTAATGGTTTACACGTGATAACATTATTGATATTTTATCGTGATGGATCGAGCAATAACAATAATTAATTGCTACTCATTCAAAAATTACAACTATATCATTTTCTTTCAATCTGCATTTTTATTTCACCATTCGATTCCGGTCTCACTAAAAGTCAGTAAATATGTCGCCACCCCGATGTCCGCGTGTGCTTCATAAATATTTTATTAAAAATTACTATCACGTTCACAAAGGATTTATCACTCACATCGATACAACGTGCACGTATGATAAAAGTCCGATCGAAAAAAACATGCGTTACATTAATCACGAGCCTTACATATTTAGTGTCGCGTAGATTGTCAAAATTCATATGAAATTTAAAATTCATGTGTCATTAGTAGCATTAAGTGATAAATAAAAAATTTAACATTTGTCTTATTTATCCCATTTATTGACTCGTTCGTAAAGTCATCCTGTTTACAAAATCATGAAACATTAATCGCATTCTTTATCCGTCACTATTTCTATTATCGAGTCCGTTTCGTAATCGAATTGTTCTCGTGTAAAAGGCCGCGTGTCGCAACGACCCAAGGATCTGTCATACAGGACTCCTGGATGCATGCAATCCTGGCAAGTGCGCCAGACTAACTGAAATCCACGTGTCTTCACGGGAAGCAGCTCTACGACAGATTGGCTAGGCGCATGCCTGATATTCGACCCTACTTCAAGGGTTTTCTTCTCTCTACGCCTGTACCAGTTTGGATATAAATACATATCACCCTACTGGTGCTCGCCTACATCCCCTCGAGTAGCACTGACCTACCCCTACGGTCATTGGCTTATACGTGAACTCCATGAAAATTCAGCCTCCAACGTGAATCAGTTGACTGTGAAAAAAAAAATAGAAAGAAAATACGACGAGACAACAAAGCATAGAATTTGTGTGTAGGAAATTAGAATAATCTAAAAAGCTTACATCGGGCAAAGCTTACGAAAAGCGAAAAGACATTTGATAAATATTAGTTGCGAAAATAAAGACGTCAGACGGCAGTAGTGGATTGGTAAAAAGATTTTCTTGGGCAATAAATTATCTCAGGCACCACTTCCGGCTCGTAGGACTTCTTATTGCCAAGAACTAGGACATTCTTGTTGTGTAAATATATAACGTGTAACCGTTATGTGTTTTCTCAAAATATACTTACGGTTTGTCCAGCTGTAAGATCAAGCAGTGCCGTCCGAGCGTGAGATGGAAAAATAAATTGAACTCGTTCTCAAAGGTATGAAATGTGGCTCACTGTAAATGCCTAAGGTTAGATAAGAATGTCGCAACGGTACAATAAAACAAGCGATACCTCGATAACGTAAGGGAATCGTAACACTTGGGACTCTTGTCTTGGCCGTAAGATATTTTCCAAGTTTTCACTAAGTTACCCAGTTACGGATAAGGCGAACGGTACTGGGATATACCTATATCATGTATGGAACTTTTGACCGACTTTTATGCTTATCGCTCTTTTGATTATCAACATGTGGCATCGGGAGAGACAAATTTAAATTACGCAACACGTGCCATAAGTTCCTATTGGACTCGGTTTAACTGCGAAACAGTATGCGTAGCTGTGTATCTTCGAGCCAGCTCAGAAACTTACACTTGACTCACGTCTAAGAAACGCACGGGATGTTGTTATGCCATACCGAGTTTTCAAAAACAAAAGAAGTTTTTAAAATTTTCAATTTTTTCCGACAGATTTCGTACCAGGAAGTTTGCAGTACGAGAGTTTAAAGAAGGGTTACGATTTTTTGGCTGAGCTGACTTGAAATTTGTTTTACAATCAAAATTCGATCTTATCAATATTTTGGAGCTTAAGTCAAGACTTTTTTTTATTGTAGTTAAACCACGTTGCAGAAATATGACGATTTTATTAATGGTACAAATTTGTCGACCATTGATGGTATGGAGGAAATTACATCCGAGTCCATCGAGACATCGAATTACTGGTACGGTTATTAATTTACCTGTCCAATGACGTCATACGAGACTCCCAGTTCTATTATAAAGTTTCAGGATATTCATAGCGTGTGATGTGCATAAACGCTCGCCTGTTCACGTAGATTATATGAACCTTCATGCTAATGGATGACTCTCCAGGCACTTTAGCTGTATTGAAACTGTCAAGCGTGTGCGTCTCTTGACTGATCGATGTGTATACTCAAATTCTTCAAGCTGAATTGCCTATTACACTGCATAAGGCCAACGCATTCAGGTCGATTTACATCTACGAGACGTCGTTGAAGGAACAGTGCAAATTAACGAGCAGAACGTGAATCAATGTCAAGCTGTAATAATTTCTACACCCAGTACATATAGATAAGCGGCTAATTGGGGAAGTCATCGACCATTGAGAATTGAACAGGAGATTACACTGTAGTTATAATCGACAGCCGAACTTTTGTTTGTATAATTCAGGAATCAAACGAATTGGGTTTACGATAGGATCCAATGACATGCATTTTAATGAGGTAATGATTTATTCCATGCTGCTACGTGCCTTCGTAGATATTGACAGGTTAGGGAACGATACTAGATGATAGTCATAAAAAATTCATTTATTTACAAAAATCATTCTATAAAAGCGTTCAGGTCAGCCAACACAATTTTCATCCTAGTCATCAATTCTTTAGCGTATCTCAGAGCAGACTCGTCCACTTGCACATTCTCCATGAGCAAGTCACAGTCGAGATGTCTGTCGTCGCAAACTCGATGATGATGCTTCAGAATGTCCTTCGGATCAAGATGATGGGCTCTCCTAGTGGATGGATTGAGAGTGGTCAGTGCATAATGATTGTGCACTGTCAATGCTCTCTTGGTCGAGATAAAGCTCTTGACCGAATCACCTTCGGGTGAAACAGTGGCTATCCTCAGAGTATCCAAGTAATTCAGGTTATGAAAAATGTCTGAGTCTAAAGTCGAATTCGGAATGGGCGACTTCTTCTGCAATTCCAAAAAGAAGTAGGCGTTTCTCACGGAATAGGAAGCGAAATCTTTAAATGATCTACCTAGCTTCTTTCTCTCGTCCAGCATCACCTGGGTCCAGTCCTTTCTACGGGCCGGAACGATCGTCTCGTCGATATCAATTGGAATTACAAATTCCGAGTGATAAAGATTCTCGTAGAAACAATGATTGTACGGAATCAGTTCCATTCTTCTCTTGATCCATACGTCATCGCTGAGCAATTGTCTTCTTGCTAGTTTCTCCTTGGGAAGATCACCGGGTAGACTCAGCGTAACCCATCTGACGACGTTCGATCTTTCGTAAAGTCTCAAGACCTTGAGCACGTTTTGGTGAACGCTGAACACGTAAAAGTAAAAGAATTTCGCCCCGAGTAGTCGATGCAATTCCACGAATGCCACCAATTTTCGCGATATGTCCTCCTCGAAGTCGAGACCCTTGATGCACATCGTGAATTGTCGTCTGCCCCGAGAGTTCCGACTCGCCGAGTTCACTACTAAGCTATGACTAGGATTTTCAGCACAGGAAGTGGCACTCACGACCACCCTCGATGGATTTAACGCCGTGGCAAGAGGACAGGTCACCAGAATTCCAGTGTAAGTTTCGGTACTTCCACCCCATTCGTCCAACCAGATGTCCGAGATCAGAGCTTCCATGCTGAACGAGCGGATCCTACCTTGATCCTTATACCTGTAACAGATGTACTGAATAAGCGAATGGAATACTTTATGGGAAGTACTGTGTAATCATGTACCAAATTAGAAGGGATGGAAAGAAAAATTCGTAAGAAATTTCATGCAAAGGAGAACAAAAAATACTTAGGTATACTCTGGCTCATGGATATTTATGTCAGGTTGTTTTCATACATATTGAAAGGTAAGGTCTCTGGGACAAATTTATTTGAAATTAGATTTTTTACTAATTTCTTATTTACGCACAGCTACAGCTACTCCAGAGCGACTCTCGTGCAGTATCGCTTTCGTAGGCGGTGTTGAGGGGGGCATTGTATGGGTGGAGTTTGCCTGGACGGTTTTATCGTCTAGATACATTTTTATTGCACCGTCAAGACTGGGACAAAGGCACCGAAGCAAACGAGTTGCCTCGCTAACGGCCACGTTGCAGCACGGATGCCAGCGGTCACTGCTGTCTTGGGTGTCCTTAGAGATTGGCTGCTTTCAGCGGTGGCGAACCCAGCTTGATTACCGGCACGGGAAAGTTCCATTTAAAAAATTTATAAGCAAGACAAAACTCTTCTTTTGAGAATCACGAGAGAAACGGTTCACGAGCAGTTAATCCAGTGAGAATAAAATATCTCCAAATGCTCTTACGACAATGCTGCACTTTTTTTCCTCCTAATTAAACAATTCTATAGGTTATCGTAGACTCTTTGTTATCGTATAATTCCGGAGGACTGCTTAAATAAGATTTTAATATAACCTAACCTTAGATTTTATACAACCTAAATCCAGTGTTTTATTAACTGTCGAAATCCGTGGCATTGCTTTGTATTCATTAAATTAACCCAAATGGACACTCTACTTTTACGAGGTCGTCCAAGAAACTGGAACGAACCGGTTCGATTATATTTTCATCCATAGATTTTAGGTAATAGTTTTATGTAAATATTCCACTCCAATATCCAATTGCATAATTTTTTCAAATTACCTATACGCACAAAAAACGAATCTCGTTCACCCATCATTTCCGAATAGACATAATACGTCACGTGGATATCCCGGTAATTCTTCCTGTCCGAATTAAACGAAGCTGCAACCTCAAGAAATCTATCTTGGTGTCGTGGACCAAGTGTAATGCAGTTCCGGAGCGACGGCTCGCTTGATCAAAGTGCGAACGATCCATCAGGATAAGAGGGGAAACAAAGTGTGAGGTGAGAGGCAAGGTGGTATAAGGCAGAAGAAAGAATGTGCAATCGCTCACCAAATAGTGCAGAAGAGCGCGGAGGTTCGTAGGGATCCTCGTTTAACGCCAATCACCCTGACGCTCGGATATCCAACCACTCTGAGGTCCAAGTGGGCGCTGTAAAGGAAGAGCCGTCCTGGAATTGTCTCGAGCCATTCCTTCCCGTTGAACTCGAATGCGTTTAACGTCGTTTCGACGCTTCCATTCCTGGCGCACTCCGAGGACGGCCTGTAATCGAGTGCCAATCTTCGTGCCCAAGAATACGCCACGATACTCCTCGTGCCTGGCGATTCTCCATCTGAAACGCCATAGAGATCGTTAGACCCTCAGCCACCCAGTTCACTTATCGAAAGAGTCTTTTTTGGGTTCGTGTACTTGTTTTTTTCGAAATACCACCAGACCACCCTGGAATTTTTTTTATGGTTACAACATTCAAAATTAATATTTATCATGCACTTTATTGGGATAACGACGATAGAAGTTAAGATTGATAAAAAAAATGTAATTTTTTAATATTTCGTATCAATTTTCCAAATAATTATTGTATTTCGTAATATGTGTCACGGTACTTTAACGTTACGTTGCAATATCAGAAATGTCAATTTAGCGTGTTTAAATGAGGTTTGGTTACGTGTTGCGTCACTCTTGTATATCAGTCCGGCGGCTTCAATCTCACCCATTGCAATTTACATGCAAAAAGGTATATTCGCTTTGGGATCTTATCGATTTCCTGCAGTTTTTATTTCGTTGATCGGTAGACGGATTTATCGGATTAGCGCAAAGACGTAGCTAGGGCGGGTGTAATGCAAACTTGGAGAAAATGTTATTTGCGCAAGCACGCTTTCGTACCGTTGTATCTCAATTATGCAGGCTTTAGGCGTAATCAAGATGCCGGAGTGGGCCGCATGCGACTGAACTGATGCCATGGGAATTTTAATAAACCTGCTTGGCGATTAAATCATAATTTACATCGGCAATAGAGCTCCGACCACGCTCTCGTATTTGCGGCGTCGATAAATTTGCGATTTGAACGACTCGACCGCGAACTCGTATTACCACGGCGGTACAGCGCCGACTTTCGCCGCCATCAACTTGTCCTGTTCTTCCCTCGTGGAAATTCCGATTTACATATCCACCGTATCGCCAGCTCGTGCAGAAAGTCCGACGCCATCGTGCCTCAGTGTTTCTCAAGCGGTTGTATCTATACCTACTTATCGCTTACAACTTGTCCAATACTTATTTTATTTCCGCACCGAGTCATTAAAATTATTCGTATTATTTTTATAATATATGTGTGTATATATATATATATCCACGTTTAAAAATCATTTTTCAGCCAAGCTAAAATGATCTTGACTGAATTCGACCACTTCGCAGGAAAATATATCGACGGATCATTAAATTCCCTATAGAAGCCATTGCGTACTAGATATGCCATTACGTGGCATAGCAATAAAATCCAGCAATATTCGTAGAGCAAGGATAATTTTCCTAGTTTAATAGGCCGAGATAGATCGTAACTTTGCGATCTAGTGGTTAACGTTTCGTCTAGTGACGTACATCCGTTAAGCTCGGTCTCGTTAGCGAATGTGACGTTAAGGTAGCTGTTGACTTTGCGGCTTAACTTTTTATGGGTAAATCATGTGAATTATCGATACGGGCTTTCATACCCATTTCGAAAAATTCGTGTGTGGTTTACGGGAAAGTGATGAAGATTATATGAGATTTCGAAAATTAGAGCTTACGAGATTCTCGCCGATCGCTTCTGTTACGCAATTTATATGAAATACGATGCTCGTTCTTCTCATCGTTGTATTTTCTTTATTCCATCGATTCGTTCTTATCTCACGGTGAAACGAAAAAAGAAATTATCTCTTACGCAACAGTAGATACGCTGACAGAAATGTTTGTATACCGAATCGTAAATTATATTAGCTAATGAAGTTCCAATCGTTAAAGATTGATACAATTTTCGGAATGTTTAGTTCTGTTGATAAATTAAATAAAATTTCTTTATATCCTTTCACGTCGTGGTACGTGTGTGGGCTGCCCATTTAATCTTAATGGCGTATAGCTGTATACTTACATGATTTTTTTTTTTGTATATGATCTTTAGAGAATTCTGTGTAGCGGACAACAATTTAATCCGTAAAACCTAAAATTTAGACTTTAATTGGGATACGCTGGATCGAATTACAAAGAGTTAGCCTTATTAGTTGCTATATTATCTTGGGTAACCATTAACAATCTTTCATCGCGAAGAGAGTGAAGTACAGAATTTTTTTTTATTAAAACTCGGCATGCGTGCGTGGTTTGCTGATCTATCTTCACCACGAGACTCATTTCCTTTAACAACCGGATAATGTTAATGCTGGGAAATTATTTGTACGTTTCGAAGTTTTACGTTCGAATGAAATCGCTAACGTATCTTCCTATAGCGGTTATACGTTCTTTAGTAACGCGTAATACGGTTTGACTGTGCGTTCGGGTATTCAATTATTACTAGAGAGATTTATTGTACCATAAGAAGAAGCCTGTTTTTTAAACATAATTGGAGCAGGGAATATTTAAAAAAAATATTTTTATCAAAATATTTTTCATTACAATTTATCTCTATGCCAGATCCCTATTTCCCGAGAATCCAATAACAGTCATTCGGGATTGAATTCGATAAACGTGTATTTTGCTTGTTAAACGCGAATTGCCCTCCAATTGATTCTCCCTCGATGCCATTACTGGATAAATTGTATAAATATTTCTTCCCCCATTTCACAAGCAATTTACCACGAAACAGGCATAAATTTCAAAGCGTAAGACTACCCAGTTAAAAAAGGAATAATTCTTGTAATTTTTTTTTTTTTTAGATAATCGTTCCCGATAATCTGTGCATGCATTCGTGCATTCCGCTGGAAAACGTGCAAAACGAAATTCATGAAAATTCCGCAGAATAAAGTAGCCCGCGAACAATAGCTTCTCATTTGTCTCTGGCAAAGGGCAGATTTTCCAAACGATTGTTACGATATCCACATGCAACCGGGAAAGCCGTGTCATATCAGTGCAGTAAATCGCGGCAAGGCTCTACCAATGTACGTCCGTAACGTCACGTTTTACCGTGGTAATTTACACGGGGTTGATTTAATTAAATTGCGCCGTGAATTACTGCATCGAACGCGGCGATATTAACGATCTTCATTTTCTATAAATATACTATGTATACGCATATACATATATCGTGCACCTGGCATACCAGTCTCTCGCGTAATCGGCAAATATTTTCTGCAAGAGCAAAACGCGGCACGCGGCCGTTTTGCATTTATTTCCCGTATCGCTCGCTTCACTTTGTCCAACGTATGGGATACGATTTTAATACCGATCGTTTTTCACGTTAAACGAACGAAGTTTTTCACAGGCATTTTCGTTCTATCCTATCAGCCATCACTACCGATCACTTCGTCACGTGTACGTACATCGACTCCGATTGGACGTAGCTGACGTAATCATGAGAATCGAATCTCTAGGACGTATCATGGTTCGAAGTCACGACTTGCGAGCATTTTACCGGGTTTTATACGTTGGAGCAACGAGAATATCGTTAAGGGATCTATCAATCCCCCGCACCCCCAATTATTTTCTGTATTTAATAACCGGGGATACCGCTGGTTTATTGGTAGGTTCGCCGCAAGGGTTACGGAGTATACGTAATCCAGACTCGAGAAGATCTACGAGCAGAAGGGAGCCTGGATTTGTCGTAATATTACTTTTTCATGAAATCAAAGATTCTTGGTCCTTCGTTGGAGATAGATACAAATATGATAATTATCTAAAACAAATCTTCGAATTGAAACGTCAATCGTTCAGATTTTTTTTTTGACATAAAATGTATCGCGTTTGATCGATTTTAGGAAATCACATAAAATAGAGAATAATGATGAATAGGAGAGTGAAAGAAATTATTATTACATAGAAAAATAGTGTTTTACTTTTATTACCAAAAAAAAAATTTGGGTTTACAGTGTATAAAAAAGTCAGGATAACTCACCAGCCGTAGGAGGTGGATCCGGCGGTGGATCCGGCAGTTGAGGCGGTAAGTCGACAAGAGTAAGGACACAAAGGGCAGTGACCAAAACTGCGGCAAGTCCCACTCTGCATATTCTCCTCGTGCCGGCAGCGAACATACTATTGTCTCTAGCGTAACTGCTTCATTTGAATGCGCCTTTTCGAAAGCACTGAGAAGTCTCGCAAATGGCTGCGTGGTACAATCCTCGGAGAGTGAATGCAGCCGTACATACCAGACACGACTACGGCACGATTCACATGATTCATCTCAAACGAGAACAGCTCAAGCACAGAGGCACGCTTGGCGTCCTATTCGAATTTCCCGCTCTTCAAATCATCGTCAGCCAATCCGCGCAGTACTGAACAGACAATCAATTCGATTCGTACAATTAGCAAGATTTAAATTACTTTCATTATGATATATAGCAATTGCACGTGGAAGATTCATTAACGCTGCTTATTATTTCTAAGACGTTCGTCCGTTCACTGCATTTCCCAAGATGGCCGCCTGCGGGGCACAGGGATCGGAAATTTATGGCTGCGTCAACAGTCGATATCGCGTGAACCTTCAATGGGCTCGATACTAGGCCCGAGCTTGTTCCTTTGGGCAGGAAGTTACTCATCGGTGACTAATGAATGCCCGGAACCCACATCGAACGCAGGTTAGGTAAATTGTGCACTAAATTATAGCTGGTTAACTTCCGCATTCTAGACACTCTGGGTAGTTACCCAAACACGAGACTCGAAATGGATAAATAATCGATAGCGTTACTCCTGGTCGGAGTCGCTTTGTGTCCTGATCGACCTGGGTCCTCTTCGTTGCGCGACCCACTCGATCCAACAGTACCGTAGACCCACGCTTGCCATTAACCATTAACTTCTTTACATCGTATTATTATGCACGTGTGAGTCCTGTATACTTGCACGAATCAGAATCTATGTGGAAAGGTAATCCCGATAACATATGCGAGTTTGTCCTCCTACGCGTTTCTGGTTTGCGCAACCACCGTCCCGTACGTCCATTTACGGGCTGCTGACAGTACACCGTGTCTCATCTCAATATTGCCCTAATTAAGATCATGCAGACAGCTTCCTTGAATCTGTCCATCGTTTTATACCATTGGGATTCTCGGTATACAAAAGTACAAGACTTTTAGTATGTTGTGTCTCACTTAATTTTGCTTCGGTTCAACAAGTAGATAATACTGGTAGTACTCAGACGGCACGTTCAAAGAGCGTATTTGTATTTATCAGTGAGGCTCGAATATACTGATTAATTAATAATTAATAAATCGAGTTCGATGTTGGGTATTGATTTTATATCGGGCCATTGTGATATATTGATTAAAATTCTTGGTGGGTATTGTTTGCTCTGTTGAACAAGGCAATGGATATTGTACTTAATCTTCTAATGATTACACGGTACCGTACGTTTAAATAATATCGAAGACCGTGACCATGTTAAATGAATTTCTGCCACGTACCGTTTCGGCGCGTTATTGGAGCACGTGCTTTTTCGCCGTTTATTTCCATCGTAAAACTTTCACGCGAAGCGATACGAACGAGCGGCTTCGATCGTGAAAGATAAATTGCACGTCGGGAGATTCGCAATAATCGCGAGTGTAGGTAAGTCGAATTCGCGGATAAATTAAAATGGAATCAGTCACTTGGGAGACTCGGTGAATCGTACGAAGCGACGGGTGGATCGTTAAAAATACATTTTCTCGACAATAACAGCGAATTCTCATCACAATGTAATATAAGGTTCGTTCGCGGTAACATATTACACGGAGAGTGTACTTTTGGCAATAATCGCTAAATATAACTTGAATCGATCCTAATGTTCAAACGTGTCAAAAATACCTTCGATTCTTATAAATAATATATCCTTCGCTTATCGAATACGAAATTCACCTTTGTACCAACACACTATTCACAATCATCGGGCTCGAATCACTCGTAAAATATTTCTTTTTCCACAGCATCAAGTTCTCTCTTCCTTTCACTGCCCAGCGTATCTCCCTATGAAATTCGTCCTGTTCTATCATACGTTCGATTTTCTCATGGATCCATGCGTGATAATGCAGTGACGTTATTTGTCGATAAAACTTTGTTTACATGAGATATATTGCACGGCACGTGGTTACTCGGTCGGCCGACAGATTAGGCGCAACCCGGCTTGCGCGAGAGGCGAAAGCATACTGCGTTCAAAGAGGAGGTTAACACGCGACAGAGCCAGCTCAGGCCGAGCAACGTTAGACCCCTTGACTACCTTGCCATAGGTTGGCATGCTTTGCCTTATCCTTTACCTTGCCTTGCTCTATATCACAGTTCTGCTGGTTTCCTTTGGCTTGTCTCGAGATGCCTTTCCTTGCATTATCATATCCCGCTCCAGCTTCATATAATGCTAATGACTTTACGTGGAATTTAGGTAACTTTCAAACAACCATATGTCAACGTTGTCGAACTTTGCACGCTACTTTGAAACAATATAAGCTATAAACATAATTATGGTATACTTACGTATACGATATTACGTAACATAGAGACGATATACAATGTTAAATGGGATAATGGAGTTTTGCTAATTGCAGTGTACAAGGCGGTTGATTGTTAGATATAGGTATATTAAGGCCTTTGATTACCTGATACCTATTACAGTATTTTGTAGTAACACCAATGACACGCATTGCGTGTACGGTTTGCCGAAATCCGATTAACAAGTATACAGAGTCACGAGAAAGGTGTGTTGCGAGACGTGAAGGGGAATTTATTTGAAAAAAATATGGAAAAAGGTGTCTGTCTTCTTCGGGCTAAAAGAACCGAGGAACAGTAAAAAAGGGATGCCAGATACTTGTAAATATCCAGGATCGCGTGACTGGAATGATTCAGACTAGTATCGAATTCACGCAATGTCGCCAGAGCGTTGCGACATGCGAATTCGCACGGCACGCGAAACTCGCCAGGTAATAAACCAGAATAGCAAATACCTTTCTGGCGCGAAATATGAATGTTTTGTGATGGTCTCTTGAACGAACGCTAGATCAGCTCGAAACGCGTGCATACGCTTATCCGTCATTGCTTCTCGGATGAGTAAACATCGATGCAAGTACACACGTATAACTGCATATAAACAAGTACATAAGCAAACGTAGCTCGTGGTTAGCCAGGCTGCAATCGTTCCAAACTTATTATTGCCCATAAGAAACTCATAAATGCTTATGACTTGCGTACGACTTTTTGTTGAAAGTTTGAACGATCCAGTTGAGTTGTGCTCGAAGCGAGGGGAGGCCGAGGCTCCTGACATCATTTGTAATCCTGCGTGGTCTAATGATGCTGCCTGTCTCGTTGGATCAGCAGCAAGGACACGAGCGAGAGAAGGATTGGTACAGGGATAAGTAAGCGTTATATAGGTATAGAGTATAGATAGGCTGGAATATTGTCATCTTTTATACGTCCACGCGCCCTCGCTATTATACGTGCACCGATGCCAGTGGATTAGATTGAAAGGAGGACCCACGTCATTTTTACACGGGGAGAAGGAACTAAGGGGTGATCATTGCACAAAGAAGGAGCGATGGGAGTCCGTATAGATATACTTGGCGGGTAGGTCAAGAAAAGGAAAAGACATAGGCAGAAAAGGGGGACGACGAAAAAAACTCGAAGATACGAGGCAACCGAACGGAGCAATGTAAATTGAGCGATTTCTTGAGCAGTTTCTTGTCTGTCGCGAATAGACAAATATGGGTGGATGTGGAACGAGATAAGGTTGTTTACATAAAGGATGGTTCATTTCGAATGGACGGAATGCAAAGTGACTTCATCGTAGGAGGTTGGCAGGCATACGTCGTTCCCACTGAATAATGCAGTCACTTTCCATTTCTTGTCATTTATCCACGTACGTGCCTATACGCGAATTCTGTTTGTTCTTGGGTTAAATGTAATATTTAATGCGCCGATACATTGTTTGCCGATCGTGCATCGTTAACGGTCTGGTTTCTTTTTTATAGCGTCTGGTAATTCAGCGGCTCCTGAGCGAAAGTCACGAAACGATTATCCCGCTGCGGGAAAGACGAAAGGAAGCTGAGTAACACTCTTGCTGAATATCCTCGTAAAAGTCGGCCAGTTCGTTATAGATTATTTGTGGTAACGTATCGCGTATTGCGTTCTCATGTGTGTACACAGTTGGAGAACCGTGCGGGAGCTTCCTGAAAGGGAAGCATGAAACATCGGAAGCAGATGACCCGAGGCAACTTTGCATTAGCGCTACTTGCAATTATCGACTTTTACTATTTTTTCGCAAATTTCTAACCGATCGTTACGCAATTGCGAAAACTGTATATTATTACGGTTCGTGGAAAAATAATATAGCTACCAATAGTATACTATGGTACTGATCACTATGCAGGGTTCTCGATACAGTAGCGAGGCTCTCTTTGGCCGGAGGATTTTTCAATTGGAATACGAACTTCGATTAGTTTATTTTTGTCTTGGAATTTTTTTTTTTCACTTACATTGCAAAAATTCACTCGTTCGAGAGTGACCTTCGCGAATTATTTTTTATGCTCCTTGGAAAAGTTTTCACTATCAATCTTCCCGCGTCTACACGTACTGTACTCGCAATGCATATATCAGTATCCTCTTTGACTGGATTTCTGAGAGGAATTATCTTACGGAGAGAACTCGGGTGATTTATTATTTGTAACGGTTGTTCGATGCAACTAGATCGACGTACGAGCTGCCACGGCGTATTACCGCGGTCAGCACCGAGGTTGGCAACATGTTTCTGACACTGGATAATACGCTCTCTATTCATAGTGACTGCCTGGAGCAGTTGCAGGCTTGGCTGCATCGGTGCATCGGTGCATCGAGAAATGCATTCTATATCGTACGTGTGTATAACGTGTGCCGATACAGTCCCGTCCTCGTATCAAACCACACGTCTAGTCGACTCATTGAGTTCAATGACGGAAGTGAAGAACACAGGAAATGATTGAAGATCCCAACGTGGCATCTGCCAATCATAGAATCAGTTATCCCATATATATATATATACTATGATCATTAATGTTCTATAGTCGATTTATCGACTGTTCCATCAACCGGTAACAAATCTACCGGCGCATTTCATGTTCTCCTAACACATGCTAGCATTTAGTGGCGCTACGGATGCTCAAGTTTTTTGCGTCAATGATACCGCCTCGGGGAGTTGGTCATTTTTTTTTTCATCCTCAATTTTATACCTCATTTTTTTTATTCTTTCAGGCCCGAACTGATGATTGTTCAACAAGATTGTTCCTCGCGTATCCTGCGGACAGATTCTTTTTTTTCTTTTTTTTTGTATTACGAATATTTTTCTTAGATATTTATCTGGGTCACTTTTTTTTTTGCACGATGCTATTTTTTCTTACTGGTTTTATTATCTGTTTGCGAAATTGTGGCAGACCGTGTAAATGGCGCACAGCAATATTCTCGTGCTGACATTAATTTATGTTGTACGTATACGACTGCTCGAGCACTCCGTAAACGAGACTTCACTTATATCGTTTTACACGTCTAGCGCACTTGGAATGGAAAATATTTCGCCTTCACGGCACTATGCGTATTGTGCAACGTGACAATTTTACGAAGACGTCAATTTATAGCCTGTACTCAACTCGAAACACTCGACCAATCCACACGTATACGAAAAGACATACTACGGGACGTAAAATTTTGTCTCAGCCAGCGGGAAGAGCGTAGTAAAAAAAAACTATACTTTTCATTCTTACTTAAATCATCAAAATTTTCGCACAAATCCAAAATATCTCCATGACATTGCGCAAATTACTTAGCCCGACAATGCAAGTCTTACGGAGTTTAAGATTTTCTCAGAAAGTATCTAAAAATATTCAGCGACCTCTGCAAGGTTGCCATCTGCATACTTCTCGCCCAGTTGGCGCGAATTGTGGTAGAATCTCGTAGGGGGGAAAAATCTAAAAAAAACTACCTGAACAGAAATTCCAGAAGTTCACACCGATATCGTCCCCATATCCAGATACGGGACTATGGCTGCTTCCAACAGTCCTGCGAACAACAGCACGGATTCTCTTAACGTGACGTCGATACAGGGAACACGTGGCCCGAGAAACCAAGCCAAGACTCGTTCCTATTCGTGTTCCTCCTGTTCCTAAAAATGAAAATCGGTCCAAGAAAGTAACCAATAGCCTCCACATACGTGAGTTCCCGAAAGCAGTCTCGTGCAAGTGGCACAGTATCATCCGGTCTATAAATATAAACGTGCCGTCCCCCATAAACTGACTAGACGCAAGACCCGTTTTCTCCATGAAACGAAGTTGGCTGTCGTAAAGCGTATATAACGTACTCGCTAATAATACTCTGCCTACAAGCGAGTATGCTGCTTGGCTAATTAGCAATGACGTCAGCGAAGTTCTGTCTCCACTTTGAAAAATGACAGTAAAATCAAAGAACCTTGAAGTCAACAGTTATATCGTCCTTTCTTAATCTTCGCTCGATTGTTTGTCTCCGCAGCCCTTTTGCTGCTCGCAGATCCGGTTTGCTGGATACTGGCGCCATAGCCAATGGAAACTGAAGACCGATACACCTGACGAAGATCTGCTCTCTGGAAAATTACGAGGCGCATTCGTGAGCATGGGAGGGCGTCACGCTCATGGGCTTCCTCGAAGTCTTTCCAATTGGCTGATTCGTGAATCTATAATGGCTTTCCCATAGCAGCCGGAGTCACGTAGAGTCACGACGTGTTTCCTTGGCTGTGGATTGATCATTCCAAAGGATCCGGATCAGTTCGTAGCTACGAATAAGATGAGATCAGATAGGACCAAGTCCCTGTTGCTTCTACGTAAGCTGGTCGTAATGCAAACACTAAGCGGTTAGAGCCAAGGGGGTATGACGATGCGTATTAACCCTTTGAAATATGGAACGATTGATTGAATGATACATCAAGGAGTTTCGTGAGCCCAGGAGAGAGCAATAGATTTTTATTGTAATCTCAGCACCCAAGACTCCCTGGCAGCTTCCCGTACGGAACGAGGTACTGTTAAATCAACCGAGACGAAGTACTCGATGTTTCCAGTACGTTCGCGCTAACTCCCGCACGATCGACAGACCGTGCTATCCAGGTACAAAGCACTCTCGTTGCTATAACAATAACAGTAACAATACCAGTAATAGGAGGCTTTATTGCCGTCGTAAGGAAACACGTGGTAACTGTAGCGAATAA